ATTTTATTAATTGCTGGCTAATTTAATTAAATTTGTTAGTATGCTTAACGGTATTGGAGACGGCTGTGAGGCTGGAGTTCCTACATACAGATAGTATATATACGGCTGTGATGCTGGAATTCCTACATACAGATAGTATATATTCATTTATATATGTATATGTATGTATGTAGTTAGCGAATAGTTACTAAACTAAATGTTTTATATTTTTACAGTCGCAATGTACTGAATTATATTTGAAAAAATCGAAACAATAAAATGGAAGTAAAAACTTAAGAAAAGAATATGTAAAAATTCAAAATGTAAAATTAGCATAAAACTGCAAAGTTAAAACAAATACGTGAAAATAAAAGCACAAAATATTAAATATATTAAAAAAAGATGACAAAAATAGAAACATATTGTTATAACTATTTGTGAAATTATGCTAGCGAAACATGCATTGGATATATTAATATGTTCACCAGTTCAATCTATTTCTTTTTTATTTTGTTAGAGTTTGAGTTTGAGGAAGAACGCATTGAACGCTTTTCAGTAACTGTATTTTAGTTGTGTATTTCGAATGTCAGATCAATTAAAAATTAACAACAAAAATATTTTTAACATTTTAATAAAGCAAGGAGCACGTGTCGTTCACATTTTGTATGCGTAGAATTTAAATTTTTTTTGCGTTACGAATTTAAGTTGAACACATTAAGCAAATACAAACGTATTTCCAATACTTAAGTACAATAAAACTCAAAATGAAAACCAATTAAATTTAAATTAAGTAGCAAATAAATTTTAATTAAAACTAAAAATTGCTAATTATAATTTTTTTATTATTTTAAAATTAGAAATCGCTAGTAAGTTACATATTTATGCATGTTTTTTAAAGCTTTAGGTACATATAAGTAGTACATAGTATGTATGTATGTTGTGAGAAATAGAGATGCAAAATTAATACGTTTTATCGTAACTTTAAATTTTTTTTATTTTCTTATTTTTTTTATTTAATTTATACCATATTTGCTTGATTTTCAAATATTTATTAATGATCTAAATGATTGCACTTGTATAACATATTGTTAAATCGAACTAGTAATTGCATAAGAGTACGAGTATGATTATTTGTAAGGAAAAAAACATGCGATAAGTTGGGTATAAATACAACTGCACGTTAAAGTTAAGTAGTTTTATTAGGAAAAATGCTATTATTCTCTCCAAGTTATTATTATTTTTTTTTTGCGCAAATATTTACAAATTGTATATAATAAATGTTGCATTATCAGCAAAGGTTTAATTTTCTAGTAGGCTATTTAATTTATTTTTGTTTTGTTTTTGTAATTTGTAATACTTCTGCATGTATTAATAGGTATTAATCGACATCCAATTACTTTCAAGCTGCGAATGTAAACAACTTTATATTCAGTCAATATAAACATATTACATAAGAAACTAAAAAAATATTAGTAATATTATATATAGCTTCATATTGACTTTGTTCATATATTATAAAATAAAAATATATAAATTAAAACCTTGATAGTTTAGGCTTTGCTATAGTTTGAAAACCTTTCATGAAATCATTGGTGGGCATAAGCCAACATAAACAACACTTTTAGCATTTAATTTGAGAAATTTGCTATAATGCTGATGTCTGTGGATCAATAGAAGTCGGAAAATTTATGTCAATGAGAAAGCGGCTAAGCCTATAGTCTCAAATTATAATACGAACACCTTAAATATATTTTTTAGAAAATGTTTTTCTCACGGATAAATATTTTTTACATTTTATTCAATTTCAATATTAATTTTTTTTTTTTTTTTATTTGAGAAACCGCATTTTGTGAACAATATTTTTTTTCGCTTATTCTTTCGATTAGTTACTTTTATCGAAATCTGTCTGTCTTTCTTAACTTCAGGATATCCAGTTCAGAAATATAGTGGTCATAAAACGTCTTTATTTTTTAAGGAGAGCTCCCGTAGATCAGCTGTCCAAATAAATATTTTTCCGAACAGTAAGTCTTAAATAATAGTTAAAAGATAGAAGAAGATCAAAAAATTTAAAAGTTTTCTCAGAAAAAATTCTGGAATGTGCACTTTTATTCGGTCTTCAAACTATATATAATCCCTTAATACATCGATTTATGCCATTTACAAATGGCAGAGTAATTCACAAAATGTAGTATAGAAATATTCGCTAAACAAAGTAAAACAAATTAAACTCTAATCTCTTCTATTATTTCGAAACGAAGTGTAAACAATCAAACACCTTAGCTGTGGAAATTAATATTTTTAAAAGTAGAATTTTAAGCTTTTCGCTTGGATTAGTTCAATTGGTGAATTAATTAAAATTTTCTCAAAAGTTTTACTTTCTCCGCAAACGCCACAAATATGATTTAAGGTTTAGCTTGATCTTCCGATATTTTCTTAAAAAAAAAAAATAATGGAAGAATTCACCAAACAATTAATTTCATGAAAGGTATTCTAGAATCACTTATAACCCGACGTTGGTAAGCAAGCAAGCTGAAAACGCTTAAATTGCTTAAATTTTATTAGTTATTTATAAAAAAACAAAACAAAAAGCTATTTAAAAACAACATATTTGATAAATATATTTAAAAGGTATACTTAAACTTCAGCTATTCCTCAACTGTAAATTGTAACACAAAACCTCTCTCAACTTTAGTGAAGTTCATATACTTACTTACAAGTTTTACGCTTCATTCCCACAAACCAACGCCGGGCCTAAGTTATGTATGTATGTAAAAAGTCGCAAGAGCAAAATTTAACTTGGTTGATACTCTCACAACAAATATATTAAATTTGTCATCAATTTGTGACTCTAAGCCTAACAGTTTCATTTTGTTTTAGACGCAGATGTTATTGAATTTGTATGCCACGGTATATCCAATATATATTGTCTTGTAGATTACGGTTGGTTTCCAGTTTTAGCTGGGCTACCACACTCAATTCCTACGCTCATGTCGTTTGTGCAACGGGGCATGAGTGAGTTGCGGTAACCCAGCCATAGCCATGAGGAGCTCTGGGTCACGCCATTAACTGTGAGAAGAAGCCTTCTTGAGGGCACCTTGTCGGATCGGGTAAAACGCTTCAGGGTTGATATGAAACCCTGTGTTGTTTTTTATTTTTATTTTTATTTATTTTTTTTTTTTTGATGAGTGACTAACAATTGTACAACGATGTATGATATGAAGTATGCATTTTGGAGCATTTTTGTTTGTGTCTTACTTTTCGGTAAGCAAAGCATTATTTGAAAGCAGTTTAAAAGCACAATTTGTTCATGAGTTAAGTATGTAACTACAGGTTGAATTAGATTTCAATGGCAACGTTTCAATATAAATTCTATTAGCCAATGTAATTGAGTAAAGTGGTAGGCAATATGTCTTATAAATGTTTGGTAAAATGATGTTTCCAAATTAGTCAATTGCCACGAAAATTTAGTTACCGGACTAAATAAAAATTAATACTGTGTTTCATACATAAAGAATTTTGTGAAGAATTTGAATAAATGAGTAAATAGGCTCAAGTAATTTGACATTAGCACGAGCCACTTTATTAATTTTAGAGGCCGCTAGGAAAATTTTGAAAAAGGGAGAGGCTAACATGAAAGATTTAGTAAGGCTTACATTATTGATCATTCATAATTCTCTGTACGCAAATTTAAAGGCAATTAAGTACAATTTGGTAATTGTGTTATTAGTTAATTGCAGTTAACCTAATTCTCCGATTACAAAACTCGTTAAGTTATAGTTATACTATGTATAATATACATTACTTTAGACAAGTAACTGAAGTTTCCTCTGAGATAACTAACTGGAATTTTATATCGAACTTGCCAGCAAAGTGAACGTACATGAAAACTGTGCCGTATCAAAAAACAAAAACAAAAATTAAAGTTGGTTTCGAATAATTCCGTAAGCATTACGAATGTAGCGGGGATTATAACAAATTTCATATGCATAATTTAGTTTTTCACTCTGTTTCGATTACTACTACTTAATTTGTGGTAAAATATGGCAAATGTATTAGCGTGGACGAAATAAATTTCATAGATGACAGATGGTGGTATGTCTTTCCTCTACCAAGATGCTGTTGACTTTTGCTTGTTTACACTCGCAGATGAAGTGGAACTATATATGCATACATATTAAATTGAAATTTTGTTGTTTAATGATTTTACTTTTTATTTTTTGCAAAAATTTTGAATAACCAAAATAAATACTTTTTAATTTTTATTCTCTAATTGGTATCAATTGTATTTTTTATACTCAATTCGCTTCTTATACATTTCATTTTATTTTTTTTTTCGGCTTTTATATAATCACATGTATAAATTTCAATAAGAAATTATGACAATCGAATCGAAATCACAACTTAAATATAACTGTATGCTTTAAGTCATGGAATCTAACTGTAAAAAAATAGTAGTATGTAATAAAAAAAATGTATGAATTGAAAGTAAAATTGGATGTGAAATAAAAATATAGCTGGAATAAAGGAAAAATCGGTATCCGTCTACAGGTACCTGTTGTAAGACTGATTTCCATAGCCCTCTGACGATGACCCAAGACCTTAAATTGGGGCAGAGATACCTCACTCGAAACACCAACCGAGTTTGGACCTTCATTCCATTTATAACGAATGTCACGCATTGTATAGCCGACTGTTTGTTTATTTATTTTTGTGTATTGTTGTTTTTTTTTTTTTTGTGTGTTTTGTTTTAGGTTTATGTCAAGCGACGTGTCATGTGTCAAGTCGTCGTACGAATGAAAGCATAGCGCGATTGTTTTATGAGATTTGTATTTTGTGCGAAATCGTCCAAATATAGTTTGTGGTTATGTACATTAGCATTGCGTTGATGAGAGGGGCATACATTTAATATGATTTGTGACATTAAAAAATAAGTATATTTCATTATTTAAATATTAGAGTTAATTTATGTATTAAGTGAATTGTAAATATTATTTTATTTCATACATCGAGTATCAAATGAATTTATAATATTTTTATAAAAATTAATATGAATAAAAAAATGTTTTAATGTATAGTGTTGTTTGGTGGTGTAATATACGAATGATTTTTATATTGTTCGTTAAGTCATGGTACCATTGATAATGTGATCAAAATGTTTTAGGGTTTGAGTTTTGTTGGTTCGTTCAGTGGTCATTGTTATTTGATAAAGATTGAAAAAATATGCATAAACAAAGAATAAATTGGTGAGACTATTAACAAGTTCATAGCATGTTTTCATACTATGTTTATTTAAATATATATATATATATTATATATTGAAACAAAGAAAGCCTTGTTGTATGCTTATTAAAAATGTATATATCACTAATCGTTATACTCGCACCTACGAGAACTTCATAAGTCTTATTCCATTCACTTTTAAAGCGATTACCAACGTAAGTAGTAATTGGTTGACGCTTTCAGATAGGCTAAATTAACTAAAATATATTTATATACACATTTTTATGACATTATATAATATATATATACACGCTTTTGGCCCTTAAATTTCTTACAAATATATAATCAACTATTAGTTAACCCGCAATTCAAATTAAAATTACATTGATAACTAAACTGCACTACATTCTTATCATAGTAAAAACATAAATCTCAGAAAAACTGATTAATATACGTGTATACTTTTGAAAAGAAAAAAGTTTTCACAAAGTTCGAAGGCGTCCCAAAACTTCCTGTAAATGATATCTTATTTCCTTAAGTACACTAGTCATAACATAACGTCTACAATAGCTTTTACGTATTGTCACCTTACTAGCCTCATGATTAACCACATGAAATATTATAACTTCTCGCCGGTTTGAAAATCTTTTACTTAATATCACAAACCTCCTCTTTAGAATACATATACTTCCAAATGCTCCAGCAACAATTTTTGTCTTCTTTCCTTCAGTCTGAAAATCTTTTACTTAATATCACAAACCTCCTCTTTAGAATACATATACTTCCAAATGCTCCAGCAACAATTTTTGTCTTCTTTCCTTCAGTCTAGTTCTTAAACCGATTCAGCAGTCTACGGTCTAGTGCGATCCTTAGCTAAGTTAACGATGATCATCGTTTAACTTTCAAACAAATCTTAGCCTACTACTTAAAGCTGATCGTTTCAGAGTGACCTGCTGAGTTCAACTATACTAAGGGTTCACTAAGTTTCTTTGATTTTTTTTTTTTGGTTCTGATGCTTTGCACTTGTATGGTCTATTGCGCCCTCACCTCTATCACATATAGACACAAAGCTCCAGCATTCTGAACAATTCCAGAAATTGTATTATCTACAATTAAGAAATCAACTAGTTTTGTTTTGTTCAGAGCTTAACTTATTTAAAAGCAAACTTAATGAATAACTGGAAGAAATATATTGTTGCTTAGTGTTAATAAAATAATATTTAGTTGATATTAATTTAAATAGGTACACTTAGGCGACACAGAATTGCTAAAATAAGCGGTTGACTAGGCATTGTTCAGCAATTGAATCTACCATATATTTTTAAAAATTATTATTAAAAGATTTGAATTGTAAATTTTACGCATTAAGTTTGTAACCTAACTCAAGCGTCTTCATTTAGTTTAAACTGTAAGTTGTAAGATATATGGCAAACTTATATAACCCTCTCGCCTACATTAATTTATATATTACTTATAAATAAAATATATTGATAAATATTTTTTTAACTCCGTGCGCTATACGCAAATGCTAAAGGTCAGTTCACTTTTTACAAATATATTTATAAATAAAGTACTTATTATTTGTTATACCTTGCCTGTAATTAATTAGCAAATATATATATATTTATATGTACAAATATTCGCAGCGAAAAGTTTAATTGCATTGAGTTGTAAGGCGGTCGAAAGTATTCAGCAAAAAATATGTACTTCAACGATTATTTTGAAGAGGCAATAGTAGAGGCGATAGATTACGCAGAAAGTTTGTTGTTGTAGCGCATAGGTAGGTACTACTATATATATATGTATATATGTTGGTGTACGCATATTTCATAATTTCAAAATCCAGCTGTGTATTTTAGTACAAGTTTGACCTGATCGTGAGCGTGGTAATTAGTTTGTGTGCCTATGCTTAGTGTGTTAGTGTATTTGTGCACTGGATGGGGGCGTTAGCTTCAAGAGGTTAAATTTGTAAGCAATTTTTCATTGGTGTTAATTTTTGGTTCTTAATTTATCATATACAATATATTTATATATATATATTACTTTTTTATTTTAGCGGTTGCATTTATTAAAAATAAATTGGCGAGCGGCGGCACTACTTGCTTTTTACATTTTTGAATTTTTGCAAATAGATTTCTTCCTTTTTGTAGATGGTATATTCACAGTTTAGGTTTGTCACTTATGTATTTACAAACCAAAGAAAGAAATTATATCAAGCCTGCCCAAGCAATTGCGAATCCATAGTTGTATTTATATACTAACTATTAAATTTTTGACACTAATGATGGGTTTTGAAACACAAAGCTAAGACACTTTTATTTCGGCGCACGAGTTGTAGATTTGTAGACTTGAGCTTATTAAAAATAAAGGAGTACAGCTTAACTTCATTAATTGCTTTACTTGTTGTTAATGGTCAATTTTATCCTGTTGCTATTTGCTCCTATTCCGTACAAATTAAAAACAAAAGTATACTAACAAAAAAAAAAACCAGTGCAATACCGACAAAAAATCAGTTACTAATTCTCAAATTACACCAAATAAAATTATCGACAACAATTTATAATTTTTTATGAAAAAAGAAATTTAAACAAATATAGAAAATGGGACAATACACGGTTTATTTAAATTTGGTTAGTAATAAGAAAATAAAAGTTGATACAAAACTAAATCACATTAAGGATTTTTAAAGAATTTATATTTAGAGTTATTAAGAGAGATAGAGAGACAGTAAGAGAGCGAGAGATAGAATTTGGAGAACGAAGTAAATAGTGTGAGAGTAGAGTTGCATTGCGAATAAACACAAAATTGGTGAATGACAAAATTGATTATGTGGAATCAGTAGGTGCCTCATATTAATGTGACTAAACGAGTAACGGTTGTAATACTATGATATTGAGTTTTTATATATTTAATGTATTACTATTATAGAAATAATATGCATTGCTTTTGCATAAAATTTATTTTGTTTATGACCAGGAGTTCCATAATATTTTCTTTCCTTATAAACTCCTTTATTTAATAAATAAAAATAATTTTATCTTAAGATTTATATTTTCACAAAATATTATAATTAATAGCATCAGGATATTTTAAAACTCTGGGGCCTTCTTCCTCCGTCCTTATACCGGCGAGGTACTGTGATTTGGAGAAAGCCATTGAAGGAGAGGGACAGTGAGCTTTTTTACAGATGGGTTAAAGCTTAGGCAGAAAATTGGTGGAGTGGTTTACTTTCAGAAGCTCTCTATCGACTCCAGCTTCAGACTTCCATACAATTGCATTGTCTTTCAAGCCGTGGTTGCAGCTATTGTGGTAGCTGTAGATTTACTGCTACGAAGTGTGGTCTCTTTCCGAAAAGCGATCATCTACTCAAGCAAGGAGAGGCACCCTACAACAGTTATCGATAGAATGGGGGCGTATCGGTGCTCCCGTATCCTCATGTGTACTGCTCTACTAAGTAGCTGGGCTTCGCGGAAGCTTGTTCAGCACATCGGGACATGCGCTGTCGGTAAAGCCTTTTAGCACAAGGTCGATTGCAAGAGATGTAGTGATCACTTTGCCCTCAGTAAGGCTAGCCTCTCCTTGATTTTGGGGCTTTTAGGAGGACATTGGCCTTCATGTTGTATGGTTGAGAATCTTACCAGATGTCATCTGCCGAAGCTGCATGAAAGAAGATGAAGTGTAAACAACCTAACATTTCCTTCTTGCCAGTCCAGGGTTTGGGGGATTAATACATAAGCACTTGCGAACGCATACCTTCAGACATCCCACCGAACTTACGGGTGTGCAACGCCAAGTTATTCAAGAAAAATTCTCTTAACTTTACAACAACTAACACTGAACGAAAATTTAAGAAAATTTCAGACGCAAAGTTAACGAATGTTGTCAAAGTGCTACTACATATAATTTGCATTGCGCGTTCAGGATTTCTATAACACCTGAACTATTTGCTTAAGTATGGAAATATTTTTCAATTTTTGGTGAATAATTTTACTAATACTCTAATATCAAACCTTCTGAGAAATGAGGTTCTATAACAGGTAAAAAAGGCAAAGAAAAACCATAAATTATTTAGACTGGATTTTCGAGATTACTATTCCAGTGTCATGTTCTGTTATTCAGTAAAATTCAAAGGGCTGACACCGTTTTGAGCATTTTATTCATTTATTAAGTTTGATAAAAAAATCAAGGTTTTTGCGAGAAATAATTAGAAAGATTTATATAGCATGTGATTCTATAATTTATGTAATATTCGAAAGCCCTTAAAAAATGGTGGTTAACAAATTTAAGTTCATTAAAAAATAGTATTTAATATACAATGTTTTTCATCAAAAAACCATTACTCGAAAAACAGACAGCACAGATCCTTCCGATTCCGCACAACAATTTTGCACAGAGCGCCACATATGTATGTATGTATGTATGTATTGACGTATATATTAAAACAGCTTATGGATGTATGTGAAATGAGTA